CAGTTATGTATGCATTATATATTTATGTATCATATATTGTATTTGCATATACTATATATTATATATTTATATAGTACATATCTTTGTACTGATGATCATTTTTGGCTTACAGTAATAAAGAAATTGAATTGTATTTGTATCAACGTTGACTCATTGCGACAGATAAATGGGGTCGGTATTGGAACTGTCTATGAGTGGTGTCCTTTATCTAAACCGTTTGATGACACAATTGCCATGGAATTATGTTTTATTATTTTGTTTATTGAACAGTTGCTTTTTCGGTGTATTTTATGAATTTAACGTTCAAACTTTTTTGAAAACGTCATCAGAGAGTGGAACAGTTAAGGTCAATCCCTTCTGTATTTTATTTACAGCGTTTTGTTTCCTCTTACAGTTGATGTGTTTCCCTCGGTTTGGTTTATGACCCAGATTTGTTTTTATTCAAATCGATTTATGGATATTGAACAGCGGTATACTACTTTTGTCTTTATTAAATTGGAAATTTGTTAAAACTTATTGTCAACCCGAGTCGCTTTAACCTTGAAACCTAAAAAAATATGAAGTCAAGGATGTTTATCAAGTTAACTGTTTGAGAGGATATATCAATAAAAATGGATATAAAAGCATGGCATAATCTACTTAAAATTAACTTTGCCTTGGAGGGTTCAAATCGTAGTTTCTTTATAAGTTCTAAAGTTTTAAATGACGAGAGAGAGAGAGAGAGAGAGAGAGAGAGAGAAAGAGAGAGAGAGAGAGAGAGAGAAATTCTGCAAAAATGAAGACCAAATATTTCTAGCTAGTCAGTTTTCAAAGTTATCACATGTTAATCAGTGGAAATTATTTTACCAAACTGTAATAATTTTCTTTTCTGTAAAGTGTTAGCATGACAAACATTTAAGCATATGAACCTCGTGTTCTTTGCAATGCATGAGAATACAAGATGAATCATCATATCTATATGATACCTATCATCTCTTCTCCGTTAACATCCACTGTTTTATAGCCTAGTTCCGCTACTGCACGCTGGTAAACATTTGACAGTGATGTTGCTTTGGTTCTATTTAGTGGTAGATATCCTCCCGTGGAATGGTATGCTGAAGTTAGATGATATTAATATATATTACATGGAAGTAATACCGAAACCCAAAGCAAACATTAAGAGGTTAGTACCAAAATTGAGTTCTTATGTATATACTTAAAATTCAAATTGGCAATAAGAAGTAAAAGAAGATACATGTAAATATAAGCATTATTGAAAAGCGAAACAAACACTACAATCATATAAGATCTGTAATCATTGGTAATGACCGCCAACATTTTTTCTCATCACGAAATCTCTATACATTGTTTATATTTTCCTATATATTTTGTTTCAGCATGCACTCTTTTGTTATTGATTATTTGGGAATAAATCGTGTAACCTTGTCTTAAACGAAGTATCGTCCATGAACAAATGAACAAACCAAATCCTTTCCATGAATATATCGAAGTATCTTCAACATAAATAAGCCTTCACGCTGATCTTAGATGTTTTGTCTTCTTTATAAATATATTTGTATCTAAAAATCTGTTATTTATATGAAGACATTACAAATTAAGTTATTCAAAAGTAACTCGATGATTACCTGATTTGACAAGATCTGCAATTTTCATGTCTTCAATCTTTAGAAAATAAGGAAGAACTCCTTTATAGCTCCATCCCATGACTCCCTCTGTTTCCCATCGATCATAGTCATGTCGACTTCCTCTCACATAAATCATATAATTTATGCTACTCGAAACACCTAATACCCGACCACGTGGCCAGTAACCTTTCTACAGAATTAAAAATAGCTTTAGATAATAGTGAAAATGTATAATGAAGTTTGTAGAATGACAAGACTGTTTTTAAAAGTACTGATAATATCACGAACACATGACCTGGCTCTTTATGTAAAAGGTTAATTCAATCATTTGAATAGAGTAAGATATTGTTTATTGCTTTTCTTTTCGAAACACTTAACGAAATCTGCTCTTACTAAAATAGTTTAACTCAAGAAGTATTCATAGTATTTCCTCATATACAAAAAAAATGTAACTTGAAAAAAAACAATATAAACCATTTCTTAAATATCAATAACATATAGGCTGATATCAATCATCATTCTGTTTTATGAAAAATTGGTAAACCTGTTCTTTCATCGCTTTGAATGTTGTCTGCTGTGTGGCTGTATAGAAAGACCAATCAATATCTGTTTGCTGAAGAAGAGGTGCTGCTAAGGGAATAGGAATGTAATCGTGTTCTGATTCAGAACCTCCCGCTTCTACTAATAGCACTGTAGCATTTTTATCTTCTGATAATCTGTTAGCAATAACTGACCCAACTGAACCTGCCCCGACTGTGAACAAAATTTTCAAATTATAAGTGATTGAAAATAAAAAGTATGAGATATTAATATCAATATGTAAGTATAAGGAACTTCACATACAATAAAGTGAAAAAAGAAATTATGGTGTTCTCTCCAACTGGCTACTTGACTTTGAATCAAGTAACGATGTTTCTCGGTGTCTTTGATATTCTATAGTCAGCTTACGGGTTAAATATTAATTTGACTCTACTGTTGATAATTAGCTTAAAACAATGAGATCGCCTGTCGACGCCTGAATAGTTGATTTGAACGTCGTTATCCGTGTTTCGTATTTTAGTGTTAAACTATGTTAGCAATAATCATATGCAATTATCCGTACGGCCTTCGACTATAAGCAAAACCAATACTGCATAGCAAGATAAAACATGCCTTGACATGACAAAGGAAAAATTGAAATGAGCAGGCTCCACTCATTACATCGCCACAAGTGCAGATAACCCCCAAATAGACTTAAGACACAAAATACTGATTTGCTAGTACTTACAGAAACTTTTAGCTAGTTCAAAGTCATACCTTTAAAATATTATATACTGAAGACTAAATGATCAATTAGTGCACATTCAATGAATCTATTGTAATGACGTCATTAACTGTCAGAAAAGGACATTCTTGTGCAATGCCAAAATGTATGTATCGACAGTATGTAGGACAGTAAATGTTCGTATATACGTAACTGTATAGAAATTATATTAAGTTAAATATTACTGTATAAATTTATAACAAAATCAATGTCTCTACCGATAAAAATTAATTTATGGAATTTTCAGGAAACGTCTATTTTAACGTTCTTATGATGTTGATTAATATTTTATTTAATATATGTATAAAACGAAAGAATAATATCATTGTGAACAGTGTCAAAGACCTTAAGAGAATCAATCTTCAACTGTCCTTTTCAAACAACAAGGAAATATAAGGGGTATACTTTATACGTGCAATATCAATTACTCTGATCAACCGCAATAATTGCATATACTATATGCATGTACCTATAATGGAATGGAAACGCATATTAGTTTGGTTAGATAGAATGTTAAAATTATACTAAGCTTGCGTTTGTGTCCTAAACCACGGAATACCCAATGACAAATAAAAACTGTTAGTTAAGTTTGTAAACCAAGCTAATACATCACCCACGACATTAGTCATACTAACATGTAAACAATAAGCGTTATTGACAATAGTAGATTTCTTACCAATTATATAATCATATGAAGAATTTAATTTCACGTGTAGAAAAATATCCGGATCTGTTCTCTATCTAAATAGTGCCGCCAATATGAAACCAAGACACAAAACTATTACTTTGGAAAACATGGCAAATTGCAGCTAGTGTCATAATTCTTGTGAAACACACATATTAATACACACTAATTGAGTGCTGAAAATGTTTCAGTTGAATGCCTTTTTATTTTTGAATGTATACATGTTAACCGTGATCTATTACAATTTCGTCTATTGTTGGTCAAATAGCACTAGTTATGGGTGTTATGTAACGGGTATATGTGACTCTCTAATTACCTATTTGCAACCGAAAGAGAGGAAGATAAAAAGATGAGTATTAGATTGAAAAGAAAATGTTTTGCTAAAACAATACACTTATTCAGTAATTTCTTTAACGGTAAGCATTAATTTTACAAATAGAAATAAAATATGTCAAATGTCGAATATTTCGCGTTTCAAATTTAGATTGCAAGAGCATCAGTTTTATATTGTTTATAACATAAATATGAAACATTGGAAACAAGGATAAAGGGAAATGTGTATAAGTATCTGTTATAGCATGTGTCTGTGACGTAACGATAAGAAATGGCTCACTCAGTTTTAGAATGGGTCTTTTAAGGTTATAATTTCAACTTTTATAGAATAAGAGTGTGACCTGTTGTGTTGACAATTCTCTGTTTTTGAAGAGTTATTGTTGGCCTCTCAAAACACCCAAACGTGAGATTCTCGCTGCCGCTACAACTTGTAAAGACTTTTGAGTTGATAACAGAGTTTGTATATCCAAACATTTAGATATACAATGAATAACGTTTTTGAGTTTAATATTACAAGAGAAATATTTTGACCAAACGCTGTCTCTCTTTAGTAAATCATTCTAATAAGACAAATGTCGTTTAAAAGGGGTAACAATTTAGATAAATAGTCACCATACATATGGGAGAAACTATCCCCAACGTTCAATACATAACTGAAATAAACAGAAGCTAATAGGGACACGTGTGGTATTTTTTGCTGCACAATGTTAATCCTACACTTGAGCTGGTTATGTGTTTTGATTATAACTTATAGACAGGAATAGGTTAAAAGTTAAATAACAAAAATACCGAACTCCAAGGAAAATTCAAAACGGAAAGTCCCTTATTAAAGAGTAAGATTAACAGCTCAGCTACATATCCCGTGGAAAACGGTAATATAAACTTCACAATTTCTTCATTTAAAACTAATGAATTCATTTTAAATATTAAACTTCTTTGTCAGCATTAATAAATATTTATCTAATGATGTGCTAAATGATAATATCATATTTCAATTTAATGTTTTGAAAAATCGATACCACTACAACATATGTTGTTTTTTTTTTTTTTATTTTCAAACCTGTCCGTGCTACTACCTACAATGGCTGTTTACTTCTGGATATTAGCTTTTTGGTTACTGGATAGTTCTGTCATAGGTAAATTTGTTTGAAATCCTTTATTATTTCAAATTCATTATTACATTCATTTTTTAATAATCTGTGGTAAATTTATAATTAACTTTCCATTTCTATGTAGCAACATTCCAGCAGCGCCTGCATACGGAGTATATGTCTCCCAATTGATACGAGATTCCCGGGCTTTTATTTCCTATCATGATTTCCTTGACAGAGGATTGCTGCTCACAAGGAAGCTATTAAACCAAGAGTTCCAAATGGTGAAGTTGAAATCACCCCTTTGTAAATTTTACGGACGCCATCACGAGTTGGTTGACCGTTATGGAATAACCGTTTCACAGATGATATCGGATATGTTCCTTATGTCGTAACTACAATACCTTTCCCTTTTCACGAATGTGACATACCGAATTAGACTACTTACTTATTTGTAATAACATAAGCAACACGACGGGTGCCACATGTGGAGCAGGATCTGTTTACCGTTCCAGAGCACCATAGATCACCCCCAGTTTTTGGTGGGATTCGTGTTGCTTAGTCTTTAGTTTTCTATGTTGTTTCTTCTGTACTATTATTTGTTTGTTTGTTGTTTTTAGCCATGGCGTTGTCAGTTTAATTTCAATCTATGAGTTTGACTGTCCCTCTGGTATCTTTCGTCCCTCTTTTGTAAAGTAGGCATACCCGAATTATTATCGTTCTACGGAATTCAAGTTATGATAGTCGCACGAGAAAAAAAAGATATCTAAGACATTTTTAAATGCCATGAATGCTGAAAGATTATATTATATCAAAATAATAATAAGATGATAAGTACATAATATGGGACCATTCTTGTCGAATTAAGATATATCATACGGAAAATTATATTTTAAACGTTTTACTGTTTTCCTCTTATTCTATATTGGTGTTGACGATTTATGAATTCTAACTTAGTATACTGATATTCAATAAGTTAGTCGTCTACAAAGATTCCGTTTTTTTTATTATTTCATAACAAAGTAGGATTCCATTCTTACTAAAATAAATAATGAATCCTTTATTCTATTGAGTTATTAACACATGTTACATTTCTAGTTTCAAACGTCTTTGAACTAGTGTGGATCTAAAACGCAATACAATACTATTTTCATTGTAATATTCTATTACAGACGGTCATAATGACCACATGTGGGTACAATATCGAAATAAAGACTTTATGTTAGTCCATCAACAAATGACATGGATGGAAGCTCAGGTATAACATAATACTATGTTGTCTCATTTAATAACAAAATTAGCAAAATTAGATCAAAACATTACTAACGTTCCAAGTGTGGAGCAGGAGCTGCCTTCCCTTCTAAAAACCTAAGATCACCCCTATTTTGTGTGGTAAAGGGATTCGTGTTGCTTTTGCTTTACTTAATTAATTTTTGTTCTCTGTGTGTTTTTTCAAATAATGTTTTTGGGTGCTGTTTATACCGGTGACAACAGTCTCGTTTAACCTTTACTATGTTAAACTTGTTTCAATTTCAAATTTTCATATTGAGACAAGTTTCAGGGTTGAATAATATACATGACCGATCTAGCATTTGGTGATGTTTAACGGTAATATAGGGGTCAATTACCGATCCATTATTGCGTGCTGTCAAATAACTTGATATAATTTATCAAAGTATTGTATATGAGTAACACCACAGGTGTCAAAAATCAGGATCTACTTACCCTTCCAGCACACCCTCAGATCCCACCTAGTTTTTTGGTGGGACTCGTGTTGTTCTGTAGTTTTCATTGTTGTATTTTGTGAACTGTATGTATCTTCGTCGTTGTTCGTTTTTTGCCATGACATTTTCAATTTGTTTTAACCTGTGAGTTTAAATATCCCTGTGGTAACGTTCGCCTCTCTTTTCCAGACAAGTTCAATGAATTTTATTTTGTTTTGCTTATCCAGTGTAGTTAGCGATAGTTGGATAATGTGATATAATATTGTAAAGAGCTTTTCTTTAAACGGGTCAATACAATACTAAACTTATACTTATCTTACAAATTGTAGAGTGTATGCTATTCCCTTGGCGGTTTTCTTGCAACTGTCTCAAATTCTGATGAAATGAAATTTATCAAATCAATGACAAACGGTAAGTCCAATTCTCCATAAATAGACTGGTCATATTTTTTGCCATTACAACCAACAGGCGATATGTACAGGAATAATCTTACAAATTGTTTGGTTCGATTTGCTATGTAAAGATGTAAATAATTAAGCGTACTTATATACAAGTCAAATATCACCGAGTGATTGCTATTTTGTAAAGAAATTATATAAAAATTTCGCGAGCTAATAAAATTAAAAACGGCATTTTTGAATGTACATGATCCAAATCGTGATCCCCGTCAGTAGATGTTTTTTCTCATATTAAACTTTTTTTCTTTACAAATGTTGTTGTTGGTAAATATTAAGTTTGTCTCTGTTACATTAATTCATGACTTTGAGTTATAAAGAGTAGCATAGTATATCGATACACCTCTATAAATAATGGTCGTAAATTGACCTTCAGTGGTTAGATTGTTCTCGCGTTTAAAATAATCTCGCATGTTTTAAAATTAAAAAGAAATAAGAAAATGAGATACGAGTTCCAATGAGATAACTCTCCATCGAATTTACAATGTGTAAAAAGTAAAAGTAAACAACATGATGCCTCGGCTCACACCAAAAAGCAATATATAAAGAGCTTCAAAAGACTAGTGTAAAAAAGACGATTTTTACAAATCTCACTTTAGATAGGTAATTCTACCTCCCACCATTGTTGTATGCAGATTTAAACAATGAAGTTATTTTTTTATTGAAGTATAGAAAAATACAGTAATAGATATGATATAGGTTCTTTAAATAACAATCTACCAACAAATTTAACACAGACCAGATCGTATTCCAACGACTCAACATAAATACAAATATTTTATATGTTAATTATATACATATATCAGGCTGCATAATTTTTTCCTATTACATAAATCTTTTGTTTTTTCTATTTTGTTTTGTAGGATTATTAAATGAATTTATCATGTACGTAAAAAGACTTACAATAAAATTATCTTAATGCAAGGGTTTACTGGCATCAATACATAACTCAACCTCTTAAAATCAGAGAGAGAAAAAAAACGTTTGACGATCATGGATTTCATTTACTGAGTTTAGCTTAATAATGATAAAATAATAATAATAATAGAATACCGACTTTCAAAGAGTTAAAACACAATTACAATTATATTTGATCAGCTTACTATACTTCATGCTTTCATTCATTTTTTCAACTTTCAAACTTACTTTTTTTATTTCCTTAATGCACAGTATACCCTAACAGAGTTTGGTTGGGCGGCACAGATATGTTTGCTGAAGGAAGATGGGTTTGGATAGAGAATTTAGAACCTATATCGTATAACCACTGGTATATACCTTCTCATCAACCAGACGGAGGAGCCGGGCAGAATTGTTTGAATTGGATTTCCAGTAACGGATATTTTTGGCATGATGTTCCCTGCAAGGAAAACTACAAATTTATTTGTCAGCGGTAGGTACTTACCTTTATATTTCGATGTTTTTTTCCTGTGTTCTAATGTTATGACAGTCTCACACTTTTTTAACAAGCCAATGTGTTTATGCGGTTTGACATTATCAAATCAAATTTTTTTTTTTAAATAGCATGAATCAGATCTGTTTAAAAAGTCAGTTAATAGATTTGAAATTCATAACAAATTATTAAGACTTGACATATGTTGATAATATATGTATTTGATTTATTTAATTGTTTCAGGAATAAAAAGCAAAAAAAGAGCAATGAACAGTGAGGAAAGAATTTTTTAAGTATTGAAATAAAATATAAGAATAACACTGTTTTGATTTATGGTCTGTTTGTTGGAATATGAATAATAAGATGTGGTATGAGTGCAAATGAGACAGCTCTCCATCCAATTTACAATGTATAAAAAGTTAACAATAGCTAACGGACTTCAACACGGCGCCTTGGATCATATCGAACAACAAGCTAAAAAGGGCCATAACATGACAAGTGTAAAACAATGCAAACAGGAAAACCAACGATCAAATCTGTATAAAAACGAGAAACACCATTAAATTACACCAAAAATACCCAACCACTGAACAAAAGATTCCTGACTTATAACAGTTACATGAAAATGCAGCGGATTTTAAACATTTCAACAGGCGTCAAATTTCACCCTTATAATACAAATAACATAAAAAGACACACTATAAAATATAATTGGAATGGCTTAACTCGATCAAAAAGACATTTCAACAAAACAAGTAAAAATACATTGAACAAATGCGGCCGTGTTCACATTGACCTAAACTTGGTGTTGTGTTAGTGTAATTCACACGTAAACTAAACACAATTACGTTCCCGTTGATAAAACTCCATGTTTACATGTAGTTTAAATCATGTTTTGTCTACATGCAGTCGATAGTCAATATACATGTAGGCCTTGCGTTGATAAAGTGAACACAAAACTAGATATTTAGAACATTAATTTTACCATGTATATTTAAAGAAGAACGTTTTTGAATAAAATTGATATTTATAATTAGACTATTTACCAGATTTGTAATAACATAAGCAACACTACAGGTGTCACATGTGAAGCAGGATCAGCTTACCCTTCCGGAGCACCTGAGATCACCCCCAGTTTTCGGTGGGATTCGTGTTGCTGAGTCTTTCGTTTTCTATGTTGTGTCTTCTGTTCTATTAATTGTCTGTATGTCTTTTTACTTTTAGCCATGGCGTTGTCAGTTTATTTTCAATCTATGAGTTTGACTGTCCTTCTGGTATCTTTCATCCCTATTTTATTGACTATGTTCTTTACATCATTATTTGTCTTAGCTTGATAAATTGTTTTGTTAAAAAAAACCTGTAGGTAGCTTTATTAGTCCCTTATCAAGACTCAAAGCATCATCATTGGCAAACTCATAATTCTTTTGAAAATGTCTTCCCGAATCGACTGGACGTACACAGAAATATTTGCCACTGGTCTTTTTTTCAATCAACGATCACTCATAAATGCATTACTAAAAAGAGTGTGCGGTAAATGGTATTGTTTGGCTAGTATCTCAAATCCGGTAATATGCACTTAGATATACAAACCAAAGCATCAATTAGCAATGTACCAAGTGTTTTTTTAAATCTAAAGTCATAGTTGTTAAGAAGTATCTGCTTGGTAGTAGTTGGTCATTACTCTTGGTTCAAACTCGTGACCGTTTTATTCAAGCAAAAATAATGAATTGAAAAAACACAAATATGTTTCACCAAATTATCAATTAGCTATAATATATATCTTTTTAAATATTGCGTCTATGCGAATGTATGCGTATATATGCAAAATTTGAACGGTCTACTTGTGGAAAACACGTTTATAAATACGTAGATTCGTCGAAAATCTCTAATATTTTCAATTAGTCTTTGACCTGAAGATATACATACATATACTTCGGCATTAAATGATCCGTTATAATTCTACACGTTTCATTTTGTAATTGTGCAATACGTCGGCTACCCAAGAACAAACAGGTGTGAAATTGTCATCACTCCTTTGTCTGTGCCAAATACTCCTTGGAGGATAAATTCTATTTGAAACAAACAGAAAAGTTAGAAATGCAGTAATCCTAGACATCTCAAAACGTTTTCTTCGTCTGTAAGCACGCTGCAGCATACGTTTTTTTATTGCGCAATCGAGACATCTTTGGTATCTTTAAAATACTGCAAATCATCAAAATGGCTTTCATAAATAGGCAACGATTTAACTTCAAGGGGGTTTTACGGGTTTTTTTCGGAGTCAGAATTTTTTTGGCAGGAAAGTTTTCATTCGTTTTTTTTTTTACGCTATCAATCAATTTTTTTTTCAATATTAAACACCTTATAAGGTTTGGGGAAAATCTGGATTCAGAATATATTTTTATTGTCATCTGCTTGATTGGAATATTTTTTTGGGTCAAATTGGGGATCAGAATATTACTTAAGAAAAAAAACAAACCCCCTTTTTTTAAGTCAAATCGTCGGTCCCCAACTGCTAGAAAAGTTGATCGAGAAATTTGTATTCGATTCTATGTAATGAGCATTTAAAGAACATAAAGTTTATAACTGTGAACACATTTAATGTACAGGTAATTAAATCAGGTGTAAGGATGTGAACAAATTTAATGTGAAACCAGTGTACAATACATTAAACTAAGTGTTAACATGTTTACTGTCGTTTGGTGTGAACACGGCCTAAGTTTGACCTATGACACAACATATATACAATATTACCACATAGGCGCCTGTGTAACATATACGTTACAGGTAGTAATAAAACAGAGTGTCAATAGAACCACTCTACTCATGGACAAAATGGCGTTAAATAAAGCAACATACACAGGAAAATTTAGATATACTAAGGCCGTGTTAACACCAAACGCCATGTACAGTAAACATGTTTACAATTCGTTTAATGTAATGTACACTGGTTTCTTATTAAATTTGTTCAATCTTTACACCTGGTTTACATACCTGTACATAAGATTTGTTCGCACTTGTAAACTATATGTCATTGAAATGCAACTGCAAAGAATCGAATTCAAATTTCTCTGACAACTTTTCTAGCAGTTATGAAAGCAATTTTGACGGTTTGCAGTACTTTAAAGATACTAAAGATGTCTTCATTACAACAAAAAACGTAGGCTGCAGCAGCGCCCTTATGGAACAACCACTTAACTTCAAAGGGGGGGGGGGGGTATTGTTTTTGGTCGGAGTCAGAAAAACGTAGGATTATACAATATGCTTAGCATACAAACATACAACCACGTTTTGCGTATATACACAATATTAAAATATATATATATTAGCGAGTTGATTATTTGGTGAGACATATTTGCCTTTTTCTCAATTCAATAAATTTGCTTAAATAAAACGATCACGAGTTTGAACCAAGAGCAATAAGTGTATTTTACTGGATCTGAAATACTAGCACGAACTGTACTTGCTTTTGTCAAAACACTTCATCTAGTTACTCAAAAAAAGGGACAGTCGATTCGGGAAGACATTTTCAAATGAACTATGTGTTGGGGATGATGATGCTTTGAGTTTTGATAAGGTAAATAAAGCTATCTTAAGTTTTTATCTATAACAAAGCAATATATCGAGTTAAGACAAATAATTCTGCAAAGAACTTTATTAATAGTAAAATTAAACAGTGAATCCCCTGATATTCAAATATCCACAAAATCAAAAACTTATGTATTTTATATCGTTAACATGCAGGCATGACGATATCTGATGCATTACAACCCTTTCCTAAAAAAAATCTAAAAGGCTGTCCACCTAAGCGATTGACATGAAACATTGACATGAAACATAGTAAAATTGTGCATACAATGATTATGAATTAAACATTTTACTCAATTTTAAAGACAATTCGAAAATAGTTGACACAAGGATATATTTAACATGTTTAACGTGCTGAGAGGGGTGACATTTTCTAGCACGGCGTTTTATGTTTTAACTTCCTCGTGTGAATGACATTGGTAATTAAATTATTTTGATCAAAATCCAAACGGCAAGGGTTCTGTTTATTATGCATACCTTCGGACTTTGGGTCTTCATATTCAAGCAGAGAATTATTTCTTTAATAATTGTGCATGTGATAAACGTTTGTTATTCCTATACAATAAATGCAACTTATAAAAATTATTTCCGTCTTTGAGACAATATTCATTATTGACAATAACTTCATAATAAACTGTTATTGTAATAATAATTGTTATATAGAAGAATGATAAACATAAATATGTTTATACAAAAAAGGTTAAAAAAATATCCAAATATTATATCATAATTTTAAAGTATATAATTTTCTCTTGTTGTCTCTATAGTTTTTCACAGAAAAAAAACACAAATTAACGTCAACATGGTCAATTAAAAAATTAAAACAAATAGCTATATTTTTGGCGTGTATTGGAACTTTCATTTGACAAAATTTGGATAGCATGAGACGGGCAATAATGAGCATATCAAACAGTTATAGCTATGCCAGGATAGTACTTGTTTTTTTTCAAATTTTGACCAGCAAAAGATTTATTTAAAAGTAATGTGGGTTTGAATATCTTGCTGAAAGATGAGAGAAAAAAAATCAAATGCTTTGTCCAATAGCAATCCATTTATAGAATAGGCTACATCTTAGTATTTGAAAGTATTTTGGATTATTTCTTTTTGACGATTTTCAATTTGACATGGGGAATGGTTGTAGAAAGTGTTGGAAAATTATTTTTGTCATCCTGATTAAAAAAGAATGAATGGAGGACGAAACGGACGGACGGACGGATAAGTGGTTAAATAAGAACAATACCCAGTGAAATGAGTAAAGACAGCTAAATTAAAAGCTAATATCGCGGTTTGCACTTGAGTATTTTTGTACAAAAATTACAGTTTGTTCCAAATACATTTATACAATTCGGGAGCACACACTTCAACGAGTGTGAGCTCTGGAATTACACGTTTTATCTGTTACACAACCGGGATCAGTAGTTAATAAATCATAATGTTCTGTTGATTTCAACATCCGGTATAAAGGAATGATTTACAGTATACCGTATTACATGAGACGAATTATCATTGCAAAGGTAGGATCTGTATTGTTTCGTGCATGTTAAATACCAATGGTTCGATAATTTTTAAAGGACAACTTCTTTTTAAAAACATTTGTTATTTATTAATTACTACTTAACTTAAATTGCAATGTATGTCAAAGTATGGCCTTCAATACGGAGCATTGGCTCATATCGAACAGCAAGCTATAAAGGGCCCGACAAAATACTAGTGTAAAACCAATCAAACAGGAA